TGGCTTCCTCCGTCCCCGGTGAGCAGCATGGGGGTGCATCCGGGGAGCAGTGGGGAGCCTGACCCAGGAGCCTGGGCCCCCAGAAGGCGGGAGGCTCCACACTGCGCTTTGCCGATCTCCACCCACCAGCTGGGAAGTTATATCCGGGAGCTGCCCGCTTGCACACACTATTTCCACGGCATTTTAGAAAAAGGTTGTTTAATTATTTCCCCAAATCCTAACCCCTAGGCACAGGCTATGCCTCTGGAACGCGGCCATAATACAGGCCCCTGGGGCTGAGGTTGGAAACAGTGTGGACCAAGTCCCGGGCACAGAGCGAGCCCTGTTCACAGACGGTGTCCTTGTCACAGCGTCCAGTCTCCGTCCCCCTCACAGGCCCCGCCCGCTCCCACGCGGCTGCGCCCGGACAGGCCCGGAGGAGCCCGCCCTCGGAGGCCAGGGATTTCCTCAGGGTGAGCCTACGGCACAGACAAGAGACGGGCCCGGCGGGCGGGGTGCAGGGAGCATCCTCCCTGAGAGAGAGCCACGGGCAGACAGGCTCCTCGGTCCCCAGGTGCTGCCTCTTGGGCTGACGTCACCATCTTGGAGGCAAAGGGGAGGACAGGGCCACCGGCCGCCACCAACGGCCACGAACAATCCCAAGCCACCGCCAGCTCCTAGGCCGGGCGATGCCAGGCAGCCTCAGCTTCCCAGACGGGAGCGTTACAAACCAGGCCGGCCAGGCCACACTGTCTTCTCCAAATGCACCTCCACCTCCGCAGGGAGCGCCCCACTCCTGCGCGTGCCCCCACCCACGGGCAGACCCATCCTTCCCGGTGGGCGGGAGCCTGAAGGGGAGATGGGGGCGGGGAGGGGGTGTTGTAGACCTTCCCGGGGAGTGGGCGCCAGGAGGAATGAGAGGGAGAGCTGGGCAGAGGGCAGCCCGCTCACTGCAGGAGCGAGAGGGGATCCAGCCCAGGGAGGCCCCGCAGAAGCCGCTGTGCGTTCCCCGACGCCACTCGCTCCGGGCTGTGTGTTCCCAGATGCTCCGGGCTGTGCTCCGATGCCCTGGGCTTCTGGGTCCCGGGATCACAGCTGCTCCATCCACTGGGCGGCTCTGGCCGCAGGTCACAGCAACCCCGATGGGAGCAGCGGGAGCAGCGGGAGCAGCAGGGATGCGTCGGGTTCTGTCATAAACCCTGGAGGGCGCTTCGGCCGCTGAACACGTGGCTCAGGACATCAGCAGGACCCGGGCCCCGCTCTGCTCTGAGGTCCCAGAGGCTGCAGGAATCGGGTACTTTAATAGCGACCCCACTACCAACGAAAGGCTGGCCTTGCCGCCACGCCACTGGAGGACCGAGGACTAAAGGGCACGGACTCTGAATGAGGGCGAAGCCCAGGTCCCAGCGCCCACATGACATTTAGGTCCAGGGAGGCCCCGTGTGCCCGCGGGCCCTGCAGCCGCCAAGGACACAGCGGGAGGCTCGGTCTCGCAGGGGCCACTGGGATCTGAAAACAATCCGCTCCCGTGACCATGGCCATGGCTGTGGCCGGGGGGTTACTGCAGCCTCGATCCCAGGCCACTGGGCATGTGGCCAGATTGGGGGGTGGGGGCGCGGGTGGCTACAGCAAGAAACTTCAAAAGCAGACCTTGCCTGGGGCACCAATCTCCCCAGATTCTAGGGGAGGACAGCTGCCCGTGACCAGACCCCGCTGACGGGCAGGCACCCCCGTCCTCAACCCTCCCCCAGCACTCCCAGCCCCTGGGCCTCAGGACCCCCTCCAGGTCACGGCTGGTCCCAGCGGGGTTGGGGCCTCAGCGGGGCCGCAGAACGGGGAGGGCAAAGACAGACTTGACTCCATGTCAAACCTCTTTCTCCACAAAATCATCACGACGTCCCGGAAGGATGGGGAGATGCGTCACAACCTACAGGACCCGTTGGCCACCGCTGTCTCCTCCTGAGCTCGTACCGACCCACGTTTAGAAATGAGCACACAGGTGAGCCGCACAGAGCTCATGGCAAAAACACAACGCCCGCCCTGCTGGTGAGCAGCGGGTCTGAGAACCCAGGCGCCTTCCTTTCTGCCTGGAGACCACAGAGCGGAGGGGGCCGGGTGCTGTCCGCTGTTCCTTTCTGAAACGGCGAGGAGGTGCCGCGTGGGGAAGGGGAGCGGCTGGCACCGCCAGGCTCCACTCGGGGCGGCAGAATCCCAGGGCCTTCCCGGGGGTCAACTTGCCCAAAACGGAGCAAGAAGACTGAGAAGGTGCCTGAGCTTCGATGTGGAGACTCCACACCCAGAAGCGCATCCCGAGGGACACCTCTGCGGAGGCCTTGGTGGCGCTGTGCGCTCCAGAGCAGCGGCCGCCAGCCTTCCGGGCCTCACGGACCCCAGCAGCCACAGACCACCCGTCGGCGACCGCTGCTCCAGAGCCTCAGCCCAGCCCTGCTCACCCCACGGCCAGGCTGGGAGTTACCAAGGCTGGTGGCCTTTGGATGGCCTTGTGGCGAAGGCACGTCCCTGTCCTCATGTGCAGTCACCAAAACCATGCGGAAGCACCCCGTGCATCATTTCTCACTCACTACCCTTTATTCTCCTCCCAGCCGCTGTCCATTTGGAGTTTAAAAGCCATTCAAGCAACTACTTTCCTCAAAAGCCCTGCACATCGAACCTTCACACCCATCGCCAGGTCTCTGACCCGGCAGGTGTCCGATGGGGACATCCTCGCACGCCCTGGGGATGCGAGCAGGAGAGACGCACTGCAGGCCCCTGCAACCTGCTCACCGCGCGGCTCTCGCTGCTGCTCACCGTACAAAGTGCCGCCGGGTTGTGGGGAGCAGTTCCACCCTGTCTCCCAAAGGGCTCAGTGCACAGAGCCTGTGCCTGCATTTCCCACAGAGCTGCTCATACTCGCATGAGGGTGTCTGTGCGATGGATCTACTCACACTCACATGAGGGTGTCTGTGCAATAGACCTGCTCACACTCACATGAGGGTGTCTGCGCAATGCGTTCCCTAACGGGTTGTAGGAAATAGATCTGCTCACACTCACACGAGGGTGTCTGCACAGTGCACTCTCTAACAGGCTGTAGGAAATAGATCTGCTCACACTCACACGAGGGTGTCTGCACAGTGCACTCTCTAACAGGCTGTAGGAAATAGATCTGCTCACACTCACACGAGAAAAAAAAGAACCCACTAGGGCCGCTAAACCCAGGTGGTAAACTACACCTCTGACGGGAAAACGGATCCAAAGGCATCAAGAACAAGTACAGTGGGACTTCATTTCTCCGACTTAATTCATTCCAGAAGGCTGTTCGAGAAGCGATTTGTTCGAAAACCCAATCATTTTCCCATTAGAATAATGTAAATTGAATTAATCTGCTCCCGACCCCAAAATGACCCCTGTTTTAGCCTTTCTTCTCTACAGGGCATGCCCAGTGCCCTGTGTGATTTACAAATAACCACACTTTTCTCAAATGTATGGGACCAGCCCCTAGCGACCTTACACGGCTGACTCATATATCGCTGCCTCGGAGAAGCTGTCGCCGCTAACCCCTTCCCGTCCCATCAGCAGCAGGTTTCCTGCCCAGGTTGTGGGCTCGATCCCCATTCGGTTGCCTGACTTGTCCTGTGAGCGTTTTCATGCCCTTCGCAGCATGACCGCCCTTGACGGCCTCTTTATGTTTTAAAATTGTGGTCACCATGGATTTCCCAGCAACAAACGCTTCTCTCCCTCGTTTGTTGCCTGAGAGATGCTTCTCATCACGCGGAGACATCAGCATGAAAGGGCTGTCGGGTCGAAAACTGAAGTTTCAGTCGACAAGCGAGACATGTTTTCTGTAACCAACTAGGTCGAAAACCGAATTGTTTGCGATGAGAGGCGTTCGGGAACCGAGGTCTGACTGTCTACTACAATCCCACCTGTGCCGCAAAGAGAAATAAACCTTCTCTTTGCGCATGGGACGTGTCTGGGAGATCTGCGAGCTGCTGGCAGGGGGACCCGCAGGGGGCAGGGGAGGGGCGGGAAAGGGAGACTTGGGCTCTTGCTTTCCACCTCGCAGCCTTCTGCAGTGTTTCACTTCGTCACGAGTGACGCAGGCCCCGGCGAACAGGAGGTGCAGCCACTGCGCGGCCAGCTTGGGGCTCTCCGGTTTGGGGCGCTCATTGCCACGTCGGGGGCCTGCCCACAGAGCGAGCTCCACTCCAGTGGTCACGGTCACCTTGGCGCAGAGCTCTCCCACGTCCCCACAGAAGCACCTCAATGACCAAACAGAACCAACAGTGACCTCCGGGGGGGAAGGAAACTGGCCAGAGCTTCTCCAGCACAATTTCTTTAGTGTCCAGGTGACCTTAAAATTCAGGAAGTTTTTGAATTTTGCTCTAGAATAAAGTCATCTGACTTATTATTTAAAATAATAATAATAATAATGTTCTCTTGCCCGGCCGGCATGGCTCAGGGGTTGAGTGTCGACCTATGAACCAGGAGGTCATGGTTGGATTCCCGGTCAGGGCACATGCCCAGGTTGTGGCCTCCATCACCAGTAGGGGGCGTGCAGGAGGCAGCTGATCAGTGATTCTCTCTCATCATTGATGTTTCTCTCTCCTTCTCGCTTCCTCTCTGAAATCAATAAAAAAAATATATTTTTTAAAAAATGGTCTCTAAATCTTATTTGTAGAATTGTGGTCACTATTTTGGTAAATAATTGCCACTTTAAAGAAATAAAAGTTCTAGATAAAACATGAGAAAAAATGTTTCCCAGCCATGCTCTGAGGGGGACGGGGACTCGCCTTGAGGGACTTGTGGAAAAGTAGGACCCGATATGGGCTGGGAGCTCACGGGGCAAAGGGCGTCCAGACCTGACTCGTGCACAGCGAGGGAGAGCTGACCTAAACACCGCCGGGGCCTCACAAAACGCCGCTCCAGACCCGGAACAAGAAATGTCAACCGATGGTCCCTGGCAGCTGGGGCCAGGCCTCGCAGGCTACGCAGGCTGCTGTGTGTGGGTCTGCTCGGCTCCAGGGAAAGTTCCGTCCCGTGTCTCAGCTCCAGCCCCAGGACACAGTCTTCAGTGGGAAGGAAAAGTGTGCTCCCCAAACCTCAGGGAAGCTGGCTGATACAGACAGAGGCCAGCCTCTGGTCCCCAGTAGGCCCATCTGTATGCAAATGAGGACTCCAAATCCTTGATATTTGATTGGTCCAAAAGGCACTATCCTGATTGGTCTGAATGAAGCTGCTCTGATTGGCCAGCGAAAGTCTCAGTCTTATTGGTTGAAATACAATCCCAAAAATTCAGTTGTGTGGGAGGCAGGCTGCTTAGAGCAGGATTCGACCTGAAGTGGTTTGAATGAGAGGCCCCGTGTAGAAATGGCTTCCAGGCTCTGCTTTCTTACAATGTGAGCCCAATTAGCCACCGGCAGCCGTTCTCTATAGGTATCTTCTTCTCAAGATTCACAGAAACAAGAACAGAAACATTCTACCCACCAGTCTGAGAACTGACAAGGAAGCCTGTCATCGCTGTGGACTTTGGGGGAGAAAAAGGTAAATACTAGAAATCAGAAACCAGGCCGGCATGATTAGTGGGTGAGATTCACACGGCCTCCCGCCCAGGGGCCGCGGGCCGCGATGGCGATGTGAGAAACAGTTCGACACTAAAACAAACACATGCTGCCCCCACACCCAGGGAGCTCACTCCAGGGAGGCTCATCCCAAAAACCCGAGCTGCAGTGAAGAAACAGCGAAGGGCACGCGGGAACAATGGCCACAAGGGGAAGTTACAGCCGCAATAAATGGGGAACGTTACACGTGGAAATTCCAGAGATAATAGGACCATAAAAAAGAGACACTTAGCGTGCTCAAAAATACAAAAATAAATGTTCATAAACCGTGAGAAGGAAAGTAAAACGGGGATATTGCCAAAGAACCACATAACAGTTTGAGAAAGGAAAGTTAAACTTCCTGTAGGAAAACGCAGTGATGGATTTGTCGCAGATGAGGAGAGGATTGGTGAGCTGGAAGACCAGACGAAATTACCCAACATGCTCACAGGCAGAGAGACGGAAACCCGAGAGAGAGGTGAGGAAGCATACACATCGAATGGAAACACCAACATGCACCTCAGAGGAATTCCAATGCAGAAATGAAAGACTCTGCAAACCCTCAAGATTTAGATACCTGGACAATAGTCAGGAGGTAATGGCTAAGAGGTCTTCCAAACTGAGGTCAGATAAGAACCCCCAGTCAAAGAAGTGTACAAAATCTGAGAATGGTAATTAAAATAAGTGCGTACCGCCCAGCTGGCGCGGCTCAGTGGTTGTGCATCAACCTGTGAACCAGGAGGTCACGGTTCGATTCCTGGTCCGGGCACAGGCCTGCGTTGTGGGCTCTATCCCTTTTGCTCTCATCCTAACTTTGTCCTTGCACTTGAGGTGTGCTCACTGCAAGATGGATTCTCCCTCATCGTTAAGGTTTCTATCTCCCTCTCCCTTCCTCTCTGACATAAATAAAAAATATTTACATATTTTTTAAAAGTACGTACCTTAGACACATGGTGGTGACACCACAGAATGCTAACACAGGGAGAAGCACACCTCCAGCTCTACGGGCAAGAGGGGGAGCTGGTCGCCTAACGGAGAACTAACTGACACGAGAAGGAAAACAGAGAACATCTCCAGTGACCACAGAACAAACCTCAGAATTTCCACACGACGAAAACAGAAGAGAAAGCATTCTTGAATGACAATGTAGGAATTAATGTCAAAAATCCGAAAACAAAGAGCTTTACCAGCTGGAAAATTTCAAATACTTTCCCAAACAACTGCTGAGTCGACAAAAAATACAAAGGGAGGTCACAGGATCACAGAGCGGGGGCCAGGGGAGATGCCACCGCCGGGACCTGCTGCCCCCCAGCTAACGCGGTGGAGGGTGGACATGCCGAGCCTTCCACACTTCCACTAAGAGAGGAGATCACAGTGGACAAAGGAGCAGCATCAATAAGTTAGAAAACATCAAAAGAACAGGATGGCGGAGGGAATGAATAAACATAATGTTAGCATATAATGGTTATGAAACAGAAGACTATACAACTGATTAATATATTTAAAAGTTGTTCTCTAAAAAAAAATAACAATAAAATGTATAAACTTATGGCTAATAAAATCAAGAGGAAGAAAAAAAGAGCAAATATATAAAATGAGATTAAATGAATTCAAACAACCAGAGAAACCATGGAAACTAAACAAATCATATACACCAATTTGCCCGATGCTATAAACATCATTTTTCAAATACACTTGAGAGCATGGATGGGAAGGTGGGGCTCTGCAATGGAGCGGTAGCCACCAGCCGCTGTGGAAACCGAGGGCTCAAATGTGGCTCATCTAGTCCGGCCGGCGTGGCTCAGCGATTGAGCATCGACCTATGAACCAGGAGGTCACGATTTGATTCTTGGTCAGGGCACAGGCCCAGGTTGCAGGCTTGATCCCCAGTGTGAGCTGTGCAGGAGTCAGCCAATCAATGATACCCTCTCATCATTGATGTTTCTCTCTCTCCCTCTCCCTTCCTTTCTGAAATCAATAAAAACTATTTAAAAAACAAAACATGGCTCATCTCAACAGAGATGTGCTGTGAGTGTAAATACACACTAGACTGAAAACTTATAAAGCAAAAGAAGCATATTACATTAATAATTATTATTGATCACATTGATAATGTGGATAATGATGATATTTTATTTTTTAGTTAAATAAGATATTATTTCAAATAATTTTACCCGCTTTTCTTACTCTTTAAATACAGCCACTGGAGAATTTTAAATTACATATGAGTGTGTATTATATCTATGTTGGACAGTGCTGTAATAGAGGCATAACATGTTAAGACTGGCTTCAGAAGAGAGATGGGACATAGTCAAAGGTCTAATATATGTATAATTGGAGTCAAGAAAGAGAGGATAAACACTTAAGGGCAGAAGCAATATTTAAAGAGATAATGGCCGAGAACTGTGTAATACTGATGAAAGACATCAACGCACTGACCCAAAGTCTCAGGGAACCCAAAGGAGATAAACAAGAAGGAAAATGCACCAAGACACATCTGAGTTGAACAACTGACGATCAAAGACAAAGAAACCGTGAAAGCCACAAGACAGTGCAACGACATATTTAAACTGCTGGAAGAAAAAACTATCCAACAAGAACTCTGTACCTCCCCCAAGGTCCTTCAGATGTGAAGGCAACATGAAAATTTTCAGGAAAAACAAACAAACAAACCTGAGCTAACACATCCCGTGGAGAAGCGCCACATGAAACCCTAAAGCACATTTCTTCAAGAAACGGGAAATGTTCCCAGATGGGAGCACAGACGTCAGGGAGGAGCAAGCTGCCCCGCAAAGAGCTATGTGGGGAAGAGAAAGGAACGTTTTCTGTGTGAAGCCCAAACAATAATAATGTCTTCTGAGCTTCACCCCATAAATCAAGGTAGCATTACACAGCAGCGTCCCCAAGTGTGGGTGGCGTGACCTTAAACTAAGTTGTAAGGTTGCTGCACCGACATTTAGGAGGTAGAAGAACTGTACCAATCTGAGGTCAAAGGGGTATGTCAGGAACGCATCTGAAATCTTAGGGCAACCACTCACACACAAGTATAATTAAAAGCTAATAATGAGAAAACAGTAGGAAAGCACGATTAGTTCTCAGCTGTGACTACTGGCTTATCTCTTCCTTCAATTCCG